ACCAAAGTAGAGTCTGATTAGAGAGAGAAAATGCATGCCACATTATGGATATTTGGTAACAATCAGGTTAAGTGTTGCTATTTATTTAGGCTTAAAATATTTAGTTATGTTTACCCTTAAAAGAATTCAGCCAGGAACATTGGATATGTTGCTTGTTAAGTCACATAACAATGACAGAATGAGCTATTTGACATTTTCATTTTAAACATGGATATCTTTTATCTTTGTATATCACATAAATCTGGAACACTGAAGACCCTGATTGTTGAAGGTTTGCCTGTTTTGTGTGTGTGTGTATGCATCTATGAGAGAGCTGTAGTGTGAGATTATACAGAATTATGCATTTGCACTGTTTGGTCAACAGGGGGCAGTCACACCACGTCTCACCATGGTGATTCTCTAGTACGAATTGTACACCCTTTGTAAAGTTGATCTTTGCCTTTTGTATCCTTTGCATCTGTAAAACTGTAAGAGCTGCTGGTGAAATATTCAGATGTGAAATTTACATTACAAACTGTTGCCTTAAGCTTTTGTTCACATTACACAATGTATGTATTTTTGTCAAAGCCTAATATGATGTAATCAGGATTTTTACATGTTTTTGGAATTGCACATTGTAATATGCATTACACATTGATGCTCTGAGATCTTTGTTCTTACACTTTGCACACAACACAGCCTGTACGTCTTATTTTAGCAGATGAGTAATTTGCCAGGAAAAAAATAGCCTTGTTGCTATATTTATCATGAGCTGCTATTTGATCTGCGAAGGCATCGAGTTCAGGGAGTTTCTCACATTTTCTGCAAAGTGTCAAATCAGAATCAGAATACCTTTATTGTCACTGCATTGTCAGATGTTTTTATAGAGTTGGGATGAACTCTTGAGAAGCATTTGTTTCAGACAGAAGTTGGAATCTTAATGTTTTAAAGAATTTGAAAAAGGAAGTTCTTAAATAACAGTGGCCACAACTTAGACCTATTGGTTTATTTGTTTCTGCAGTTGTGTTGCTGAAGTATATTTTTGACTATTTATTAAAATGGAAATGACTTAATGATCACTGCTTATCATTCCTTTAACCAATTTGATGTGATGGGATAAATGTAGCCTACTGTAACAAGGTTTATTAGCTGGGGTGTGTTTATTATGACTTTGCTATTGGCAGTAAACAAAAATATTTAATAATTTTGAGAACTACTGCTTCTTAATATCCCTTGACTTTCCAATTACCATTACAGCAGTGGGTTTATTGGGATTAATCCTTCCAAATCTTGTTACAGACCAATTTCCCATATTGCAGCTTGGAAAATAAAAGCTGTGTGGTTCAACAGGGATCAGAAATGATAAGTTCAACAACGCTGGGTACTGAGCTGAGGAAAGTGTCTTTGGGTTCAGTCTCTGGCTTTACAGCCATTTCATTTAAACATCATGGACAGCAACAGCACACTGTGGTGCACCAGTTCTCATCCGTTATCCATCCACGCAGAGGTGGCAACAGCGGCGCCCACCACCTTCCCTGAGGTGGGCTACAGTATTCTTTCTTTCCTCATGTTCATCAACACAGGGTTATCAGTTTTTAACAACTGTCTCATCATAACCGTAATAGTTAGGCATCCATCTCTCCGCCAGCCGATGAACATTTTTATCCTCGGCCTCGCTGTGTCTCATGATAGACCTGTGCGGCTCCCTGGTTGTCACCATCACCAACTACCATGGCTCCTTATTGGCCACAGTGCCTGTGCATTTCAAGGATTTGCAGTCAATTATTTTGGTAAGTGGAGCTATAAGACAATAGTTTGTTTAATAGGGACTTTGGAGACCAATGTTCTTTTCTGTGTTATTGTGAAACAAAACATAACTAAAAGATAAACTGTCCATTGTTAGACATTGTTCCTTTGGTTGATAGTTTTACTGTTTATGTTGTTGGCCCTCTGTGCTTTTTTGAAAAATGTTCTACTTATATTAGGTCCTGTACATTCTTTTTTTCTTAAAATATTTATTAAACATTTATTATTTATTCAAGCATTAAAGTTCAGCCTTGGGAAAAACATTACTAAGTCAAGGTCCATTTTCTAGCTTTAAAAAAAATTTTCACTTGCATTTTATACTCTTCATTGCCAGATGTAATCTTCTCCTTTGTCACAGGAAAAAAACATGGAGTTAAAACCTTCCTAAAAAAGACAATAAGTGGATCTTGAATTAAGAGATTACTGTTAAATGTGTTTGTTCTTTCCTAGGACTAGTGTCTCTCTGGACTTTGACTCTGCTTGCTTATGAGCGCTACAACATGGTGTGCAAGCCAAAAGCTGGTTTAAAGTTGAGTATGCAGAGGAGCATCATGGGCCTACTGTTTGTCTGGGTCTTCTGCTTGTTTTGGGCTGTAACTCCATTATATGGCTAGAGCTCCTATGGACCAGAGGGAGTCCAAACGTCCTGCTCTCTGGACTGGGAGCAAAGAACATGGAGTAACTTCAGCCATCTCATCCTCTACACACTCCTGTGCTTTATTTTCCCAGTTGCAGCCATCATCTACTGCTTCTCCAGAGTGCTCACATCCATTAATAAGGTTAGTTCCATTACAGCAATATTTTAAATTTATAATCTCCATCCTTATATGTTTGCAATTTACCACCTACACATTAAAACAAGTTAAAAGCTTTTAATGGAGGTCACATTTGTCTTTTACTCACAGCTGAACAAGAGTGTAGAGCTTCAGGGTGGGCGTTCTAGCCAAAAGGAGAATGATCATGTATGTATAGTATGGTCCTGGCCATGATTATAGCATTTTTTGTTTGCTGGCTGCCCTACACTGCATTGTCAGTAGTAGTAGTTGTGGATCCAGAACTCAACATCCCTCCGCTGATTGCCACTGTGCCGATGTACTTTGCCAAGAACAACCAACCAACAACCCTATCATCTACTTTATTTCCAACAAGCAGGTAAGCAGCTAAAGTGCATAGGCTGTGAAACTGAGATACAAAGGCTGAGTTGGAGAAAAAAGAAAAAAGGCACAAGTAAAATACATATTTGAACATCCTGGTGTCTGAACATAATGTTAATATATTCTCTGACAGCGTATTGATGTACATTTATGGTCAACGGTTTTGTGATACCGCTCTAGAGGTACTGTCATGTGGCCACTACATTCCCCACAGGCCCACTGGTACCAGCATCCACATGAGCCCCTTAAGCAGGGCCATCAACACGCACAGCAAGGTGTTGCCTCTGTGACTTAAGAAGCTGTCAGTGTTTATTAATGATTCATCAAGGACACAGACCTGCACATCCAACAGGCTCGTGTCTTTCAGAGAGGTCATCACTGTAGCCAGGTTACAACAGGATTGGCTCAGAGACCTGTAGCTGACATTCACAAACTAATGGGGAAACCTTAAAATATGAAATAAAGAAAACGAAAACAACATCACTGAAAACTGCTTATTTTGTTCACTTTTAATTTGGTTCAAGCTCTTTATAAAGTCTGCCATTTTATTACAAGTATTCTCCTGTAGTTACTGTCAATCCACTTCTTTTAGAACAATAAGAGTATTCAGTAAGACCTTTTTAATTCTGTGATTTGAAATTAGTTGCAAATATCATCTTATCAAATATTTTATGATTTCCCTCCTTGTGCATAACAGTATAGACTATTAACTACAAATTAAATATATACATTTAACTACAAATGTAGAAGACCTTTTGAGAAATGTGTGATAGCTAAAAGCTGTACATAAAACTGTACAAAATAACTTACAAAAAACATATAGCATTGTAGCGTTAAATGCCTCATGGCCCCGTATCCCTAACTCCAGAGAGTGACAGAGAGGGTTAAAGCTAGTTTTATGGCTTAGAGCTCTGAATAGTAATTAAAAATAAACTAATAAAACAGGGTTTCTACTGTATGTGTGTAATATTGCTGATGAGGAAGAGGCACCTTGACGCACAGTGATGCATGACCATGTAAGTCCCTTCGGATGGGCCAGTTAGCATGTCCAATAGCTTGTTGAAAAGTTCAGAATCTCAGATTTCTGCTTTGCAAGTACATGAGTTGTGTGGATTAAAAAAAACAAAACAAAAGTCAAACAGCCAGACTGCAGCCCATGCTGCCGTTTTACAGTCTACTTCAAGGTCTTTTAAGGGAACACGTGCTCTGATTTTATGTAAGATCTACAACAGGGCACCTCTTCCTATCTAAATAAATAAAATTAAAGCCAACAGTAGTCAGCTCCATCGTCCAATTAACACAGGCAGCTAGGCCAAATAATTGTATTTATTGCATATTATGCAATACCTCCTGTTTTTTGCCAAGACACACTCTCCAGACGTCTGCACAAAACAGATTGCTGCAGTGTATATGGCCATAATTTCACTCTAAGCACCTGTGTGGATATAGGATTTACTTGGCACAATTATTTTCTAGTTGCAGGGAAACAGCAAATGCAACATAATGTGCTAAAATCTGTTCAGCAAATCCACAAAATCACATTAGAAAAGCATGAGAAATCTGGGTGCACTCGAAAAGCAAGTCTGCTTCACTATGTGCATGTTCTAACAGTGTTAGCCAGCAAGTAAAAGACATTTTTTGGTCAGCCTGCTGTATGGTCTGGCAATTCTGTATTTGTATTATTTTATATTTTTTATTTGCATAGACAGAAAGAAATATGTTTGGTGTGTCCTTTACATTATACACACATATATGATCGCTAGGCTAGTTTTGCATACTCTCATTGTTTTTGAATAGTTCCTTTGTACAGATAGATATTGCCTATGTTAAATATGAGAGTTTGGTGTGTTGGCAAAAATAGGTTAGTTTTAGTTTTTTTTTCTTCTCATCTATTTGGCACATGATGTAAATGGAAACTGGATTCTAAATAAAGTTTAATTTATTTGCAGCTACTCCTTGGTTATGTCATTTCTATTTTATCACATAATATGTCGTCTCAGTGTATGGTGTCCTTTGCAGTCATTTCTTACCCAGAACTTCCAGATTTTATCTACAGTATATGATGTTGAGAGACATTTAATTAGTCTAATATGTAGGATGGTCAGGAGGAAGATGCATTGTGTTGATCTAATCCCAGATGTGGCATAGTGCATGAACTTGTAGAGTTGAAGCAAAAAGCATTTCACAGTTGACCTCCAAACAGGATTACATAGTAACTATAATCCTGAAGCATGGCACCCTCTTTTCCTTAGCCAATTCAAAAACTCTTAAGTCATCCATCTGGCATGCTTAGTGCAAGGCTTTTAACCTTTGTGGGTTACTATATGAAATGAAATGCACAGATGTACAGTACAGTTCACACAAACATACATAGGCCATTATTATCATTATTGCACTTCAATTCTGAGCCTTAAGTTAGATTGAGACAACAGTGACATAACCACTTTTCAGTTAACAAGCATCCTCTTTGCCCGCTTGTCTCTTCTGTGAATTCACAGCACAGTTTTTAATGAATGTGAACAGTTAGGACTCCCAGGTGACCTGCTAGTGCTGGGGAGTGATAATGAAAAGGGCGGATGCTTTGGCGTAACTTGTCCAAGCTACAAGTTCACACATTTATATTATTCATTCAGTGGAGAATCACTTGCAGAAAAGAGAAGCAGGCTGAATGTATGATTGGTTGTCTTAGAGAAAATGAAGACACAGGACTAAGCATGTTGACTCTTTGAATTTGGATATGACAGATGAGCCTACACCTGCACTGGACTCAGAGAACATCACCATCTGGGAGGATTACACCGACATCGCCTTTGTAGTATCAAATGGTTTGATCCTGTTGTGTACTTCGGTTGTAGGGATTGCAGCAAATGTTTTTGTGTTACTGGCAGTTTATCACCAAAAATCACTGCAAACTTCCAATAATGCATTAGTGGTGAATCTTGCAATTGTAGACATTCTGAGATGTGTAATTGACTGCCCTGTTCTCTTAACCATCGTTATGACTGTATATCTAAGAGGACATGTGGACAAATTGATCTGTGACACACAAGTGGCCTCGTTCTCTTTCAGTTGCTGTATCCAGCTGTTAACACTGGCATGCATAAGTGCAGAGCGATACCAGGCCATTGCACAACCCTTCAAAACTAGTCAACGAAGAAAACGGATTATGGTGCTAATCCCTCTCACTTGGACTTTGGCTATTCTGGTGGCTGTTTTTTGTCTTATATTTCTGAAGGACTCGCCTGTGAATGTGCGATGCAAAGGAGCACAGAAAGAAACATTATCCTCCTACGACACCTTTGGACTTTACATGCTGCTCCCACTCTGGGCAGCTTGCTTTAGTGTCATCATTGGATTCTATGCTCGCATATTTATCATTGTAAGACAACACAATCGCAAAATATTTGACAAAGGTACTTTTCCACTTTCAAAAAAAGGTGAAACAGAAACCCAACAGAAGAAAGAAGAAATCACAGCTGTGAAAAATGGACATAGAGGATCAGAGCAGAACCAGACTGTGAGCAAAATTGTTGTTTGGGTGGAGCTGGTGACACAAGCTGAAGCATGTTCATCCAAGAAAGATTCTTCAGGTGTTCTCCTGACCTCAGCAAACAGTTCACAATGCGTCTCCATCAGTTCAGTAAATAGGAACAGGTTTGAAAGTAAAGCGGAGATAACAGACTTGGAAACAGAACAGCCTTGCCCTTCTGTAGTGCAGGATGAGGAGAAGCCTCTAAAAACAGAGCAGTGCAACCCTTGTGTTACTAAAGTGGAAACAAAACCATCAAATAGAGATGATGTTGCTACTGCAACCACAAAGCCACAGAAGGTGTCGATCAGTTTTGACACAGAAATGCAGCCCAAAGACGCAGTTAAACCTGACAAAGTACCCTCTGAGATGAAACAAGCTGGCCGCTGTGCTGCATCTCCTGGACAGGTGGAAAATCCTGATTGCACTTCAGTTTCACTGATGGAAGCAAAGCAATCTAAGAACAGCAATGGAGAAACACTGGCTGTTACTACAGTAGATCAAGGGCCTCCCCTCCCTCTAGTCTCAAGCAGTATAAAAGTAAATGTGGAAGCAGAAGGTGCTGTTTGCATGATGCCTTCAAAAGCAAGTAAAGAGAGAGTGAAAAAGAAGAAGGAAAGTAAAATGGCAAAGCGTGCCGGCTACATAATTATCACCTTCCTCTTATTCTGGCTTCCACTGATCACAACCATCCTGTTGAACTTTGTTGTTTACAAAATTAATAATACACAGGTAAGTGTAGAAGCAAGAATTCAACTTTTACTGACAACAGTTTCTGGCCTATGGTCTCACTTTAAGGTCTCAAAAGGTTGAGGTAAATTTGAGGAGGAGGAGTTGGCATGCTATTAGCTAGTACACTCAAGAGCAGGGAGGGTCAAAATAGATTTTATATATATATA